CTCTATATATATATATATATATATATATATATATATATATATATATATATATATATATGTCTGTGTGCACGTCTCTATGTTCGCACTTTTTGTCACCCATTTTCAACTCGAGAATCGGAAAAGCTAGAAGACTGAAACTTCGGGAATATGTGCCTACACCATGTTCGATCTTCCCGTTTTAGTTTCATCACTCTCATAAGCCTCGGTGCCGCGCACGGACACCTCAAAAATATATGCAAATTTTTTGGCGGGAAAGTGATGTCGGGAACCGCGCAAGATGAAGAGCTAAAAATTTGCAGGGATATTCTCTGTTTATTTGTGAGCTAAGGGTTTCAAAATCAGCCCTTATTGGTTTTCACATAGGAGCACGTGAAAGTCTTGTCAGGAAAATTGTTAATTAGGCAACCAAAAAAAAACTGGAAGGCTGAAATTTCAGTGGTGTGTTTCCCGTCCACAAACAACTTGAATATTTCAAATTCAGACCCCTCGGCAAGCGTGGTACTCACGTATGGGCATGTAAAAGTCTTGACGGAAAATACTGACTCGGGAACCAGAAAAGCTGTAAAGCTGAAATTTTAGGGAAGTGTTACTTGACCAAGTACCACTTAAACGTTTTCTGTTCAGTTTACAGATGTGCATAGTTCCCACTTACGGGCACTTAAAAGTTTCGGTAGAAAAACTGCTCACTGAACAGCGAGGTCATTTTTAAAGGACGACCGTTAAATGGAAGTATTCATATCCTGTGTGAAAATTTACAGTAATCTGTGCTATGGAGCGCAAAAGGTAGGCGTAAGGCAGCACCATTCATGTAGTTAACGGTGCGAAAACGCATAATCGTACCGGCAAGCCCGGTGCTTCTCAGTTTGGGTTGTATCACTTATAAATGCAGAAACGAATAATTAATACTTCTGACTTCGACTTTCAGAGCCCTGGTATTCGTTTATCCGTTTGGCGCCACTCTAAGTGTCGGTCGCCGATCCACAGCTGTGCTGTCCACTGGTAGCGTATGTTATCCGAACAGTCGTCCCATCTGTGCTTTCCACAAAACGGTAACAAACAC